TTATAAAGAAGCTTTATTAGTTTATGGGGTCCATAATTAAATAATATTATTTTTTTATCTGTATTCGTTTTGGGCAAAGGAAAAGCCACCATTTATAGCTATCCAAAAGCAAAAACATTTGAATTCGGAAAAATCTAAAATATTCTGGAAAACGGAAATAATTTATACTGCAGTAACGTTATTCTTAGTCATGAATCAAAATTTGACGTAACATCGGTGATTTTCGGAAAAACGTGATTTAAATAAAATCAGAGGCTTTTCATAAAGACTGTCTAAAGGGTACAATCGAATATCTCCAAGAGGTTAGATATGGCCAGGTAGCAACAGTAAATGACGTTAATATGACGTCATTTATTGGGCATTTTTGGTCTTGGACGTCATCTGACGACATAAAAACTTCATATTTCAGAACATTTGGACGTCTTTTGGAGGGCATATCTGACGATTAACTGATCATCCGTTCAGTTAGCCACTTTTTTAAGCCTTATTCCTTAAGCGTTAGGCACTAGGGATGACACAAACCATCACAGGTATGTGTAACTGTTCCCTGCTGGTACCTGTTCCACGTATCTGTGATTTTTTGTCACATGTTATTTTGGCCCAAGGTAAATATTGGTTTGTACCTGAAACCGGGCTGAAGCGTACTTTGAGTCCAGTCGGATTAGACTTTAAAAGGCCTGTTTCGGGCACTAAAAATATGAAGGTAAAAGATTATTGGAAGTTGTTCGGAAGGATGTCAGAATATTGAGACAATAGTTTGTGCTGGATTTCCGGCTGTGGAACATTGTTAATAAACAATTATTTATAAATAACTAAAGAAAGTGCAAAAGCCCGTTTTTTGTGCATAACTGTTGAACCGTTGATGCTATTGAAATGACGTTTTATCCTTTTTTTCAAGTATTAAAAATACCTATGATATCAGATAAACTGCATTGAAAGCAGTTCATTAGTTTACTCAAAAACTCGAAATAAAAACCGTCGATTTCAGCGTTTTGCTAATTTTCTATAATTAACTTACTTTTGCTTTAAGAAAATCGTACCATAACTTTTTTTGGACAGCCAGTAATGAAATTTTAATTTATTGTACGTTGTAGTATAACTCTTTACCAGTAAAATACAGCCTCAGAGAAGTTTCTCCGACGTATCAAGAAACATTTATTTAGAATCTGACAAGAGCCCTTTTTACATAACAAATAGGAATGAACAAAAAGTTATGAATATTTGAAACTAAAATTTACACCACTTATAAAGTATACAAACACCTTCAAAAAAGTTATAGTGATATTTTTTGTGGCAAAAATAAATAAATTATAAAAATAAAAAAATATATCCACGCCACTTCCTAGTAATTTGGGTGCGAATCCGCTGGGTCAGCGATAAATTATGACCGAAGACCGAATGCCTTTTGTTCCTGTATGTATGCAAGGGCTGATGGTCCAAAAAGTCATAACATTTTTTACGAGAAATGTTTTACCCTTTTTCCGAAACTTTATTTGAACACAAAAAATGGACAGTAAAATGTGAAAAATCTTCTATTTTCATGCTAATCACTGATTACAATTCATCTTATCGCTTAATGGAAAATTGGCCATTTAATACTTCAGCTATGTTTGACATAAACAAATATTGAAACATGTCCGGGCTAAGTATATAGCGTATATACAAATTTAAATGTAGTTCGTCCACTACTCCGCTGGGCAGATGCAACAAATGCCATTTTATTTTAGAAGCACTGCTATTGGTCGAAAAAGAACAAGTTCCAAGGACAAGCAACAGCTCAGAATTCCGAAAAAACAGTCAGTCAGTCACAGCCTGTGACTCACAGGCGTGGTCACATTAAAGAAAATATCGGAGACGGCTGTTACTGCTKTTCCCGRTATTTTCTGTTCATTGAATATTGCTATTTGYCGAATSATGGGTGCATGGATTYGAAAATCATCAGGTGATTCCCCAYGTCCCACTCYCATACATACAAAACCYTACCACTTCATGARMATAAAATATCTCCTTTCACTAAAAGCACTTCCTCAGGCCAATTGACAACGCCGTGGGGAATCAAAAGGCAYAAAKGCAGGTATTTGCCTTTTTGCTTTGTTGAAATATCGAAATCCCAGATGTTGTACTSGTACCGACCARYATCGTAGGCGAGCCCTGTTATTTCAAATCACATGTTMTTTTAAATATCGATAACAGGTACCGACTGTTCCATATCGATATCTGTTCCAGAATAAGGAATAACGCTTAACGATTAAGGCGTATCTTAAAAGTTGGTTGCGCATCAGTCTATCGAGGTGTTTATAAACCGAATAGTGCCTAACGCTTAAGGAATAAGGCTTAAGAAAGTTGCCAACTTTTAACTTTTATCTTATGCGTTAGGCGTTATTCTAATGAGGCATGCGCAGTCAGTAAGATATCTGATATTTCAATATCCCACGTGACCGCCAAACATCGTATTTACATTTTGTTGTACTCCTTCAGTGGACCAATCCATTTTAATGTACAATATTTATGTGAAATTAGGCTTTTATTGGTATTTATGTTACCGCGATAATGTTGACATAAACAGACACAACCCTATTGTTTCTTTACACGTAGAGTGCCACCATGATAAAACCGTTTAGCGCTTCCTACGGGCCATAAACTTTTTTTCATGATATAATTGTTAAAATGCTTATGCATAAAGAAAACGCACATAGTTACTGAAAAATTCACTTATTTTTGGAAAAATGCGAAAAAAGAAATGGGGGACAACATTGACCCACCGCGGCCATAACTACTCAAATTTCCACTGCGGCCGCGATGGACATGCGCTGGAGACATCAACTGACTCAATACACGTCGATTCGATTTTCACGAGGTCGGAGGTTCTCTATACTGATTTATCTATGATATTCTGACTCTGGTGAGCAACGTTGACCCACCAACGTAAAAACCAACTACACCGAAATCTTGCTAAAAGCATCTTGGTTGGGTTCCTTCATATTTAGAATGGCTCTGGCGGACGAGGGGGACCCACCACGGCCAGAAGTTAGAAAATGCATGGTGGAAAACGTTGACCCACCACGACCAGTGTGGATAATTTTTTCTCCTCCAGTAGTGGACATTGTTGCTCCACCATGGCACCCTACGTGTTAAGCCTATGCTTCCATTTGATTGGCCGTACATCAAAAAATATTGTTCCGTATTCTGCTTTATAAACACCCCATTAGGCGTTATTCTTATGCCTAAAGTCCGTGTCCCATGCATCCGTTAATACCATGGTACGAGATCTGTCAATTTCTCCGCCGTCCTGCGAATTGACAGATCTCCCATCAATAGAAACACTTTCGTATCATCGTACCATGGTATAAACGGATGCATGGGACACGGGCTTTAAGCCTTATCCTTATTCTCGTGTATAAACCCACCATTAGTTATGGCGTCGAGTCGCTTCCAATGTCATGCGTGGAACGGGCAACCACAGATCACGTGTACGTGTGATTTGTGCGGGCAACTCTATGTATTTTGTACAGTACGAAAGAGGATAGCTGTGCGGCTCTAACTTGGTCGAAAATGCGAGGGTGTAAATCATTGACATGCTATACTAAGTCAAATATTTAAAAAAAAGTTAGTTCGTCCAAGTCCTCCAATGGATGATTTCTGTTTTCTATCGTCTTTGGAAATCCAAATTCGATTGTCTCAAGGATATCTAGATCGTCTTCAAATATGTCAAAGCAAGTTTTGGTATCCATTGTTTTTGTTTTTTGTTTGTTATCGTAATTTTCAATTTTGTTGACAAAACAAAGGTTAGAATTTACGGGTTAATACAACACAAACACATTCTAAGATTAATTAGGCCTAACAGGTGATCAGCACAGTGATTTTGCACACAAAATGGACAAAATGAATACTCCAAATATATGCCAAGGCTTAAAGTAGCAACAACGCTACACATGTAAGCAAAAATAATTGAGTATCTGAACAAAGAATTCTAGTCTCTTCCCAGAATTGATTGT